TGCTCTATATATATGTATATATATATATATATATAATTTATGTAATAGAAATATTAATACATTTGTAAAAGTGGATGTAATATATCCTTAATGTTAATACTTTTAAGCAAAATAAACGTCGCAAAATAAAATGCGCATAAAATTGCAGAGATGAATTTTTCTGAACATAGTTTGTGAATGTAGCACAATTACAAAAAACCAAATATCGATTTATTATCTCCTTAAAAAGTGAACGTATGTACCCTCAGAAAAGTGGATCTTGCTATGTAGTTTACATCCACTTTTTCAGAGGGCAGTAATGCGTTTTATGGTTACAGGTTAGACCGTGATGTCCTTTCTCAGGTTTCTTTCTGATACAACTGTAAAGAGTCTATTGTAAAACTTGTGACTTGTCTCATGATTGGAATAATTTAGATCATGTTTTATTATACTAAAATAACTGTCTTGAACTTCTATAAAGTTCAAATGCTAATCGGATATTTTTTCTTGTACGTAAATGCTGTGCAGGATAATAGTAACTGTCAGTGCAACAAATTGAATCGGCAATTACTTTTTAGTCCCCGAGAAAAATATTGTATTGTGAATAATATTAAATCCAATACAAATAACGTGATCGAGGAGAAAATAAAGAAAATGGTTAAAATTAACGCCGGTACATATTTTATAGGAACGGACAATCCAGTTTTTGTAGCCGATGGAGAAGGACCAAAACGCGAAGTAGTATTAGATAATTTTTATATAGATAAATTTGAAGTGAGTAATAAGGAATTTATGATGTTCGTAAAGGCTACTGATTATATTACCGAAGCAGAAAACTTTGGGGATTCTTTTGTCTTTGAGGGCCTCTTAACACAAACTACAAAAGACAAAGTCAATAAAGTAGTTTCTCAAGCTCCTTGGTGGTTACTTGTGAAGCAAACCTCGTGGCAACATCCAGAAGGTCCCAACTCGAATATTACTTGTACGTATAAAAATAAAAATGATGGCAATTATTTAGAACCCCTCCCCCCTAAAATCTTAATAAAAATATACATTCGATTGCATATTCACTTAAAACGAAAGAATCTGGCAGAAAAACGCGACGATCTATCTTGTGAATCAAGTTATTAAGTATTAGTCGGATTTATAATTGGTTTTTAAGCCTTAAGCCGTAAGAAATTGATCAATTACTTTGAATGCGAGAAGAATAGATTCTATTTCTTGTGGCTAAAATTCGAAATTTTAGAAGGTAAGATATCTGTCATCCCGATTTGATACAGTGCTATATTTACGTTCTGCTTTAATTACACAAATTCTCTACTTTACAAACATAAATTCATTGCTTTAAAAACACAAATTCATTGCTTTAAGAATACAAATTTATTGCTAATTAGCGATGAATTTTTGTTTTTAAAGTAGTGAATTTGTGTTTGGAAAAGAAAATTTGTGTAATCAAAGCAGAACGTATACACAGCGCAGGATTGTGTTCAGAATTGTCGTCCGGATGCACCCAACTGTTATTTATAATGCAATCTGGAAACACCACGTATAAAAATATATTACTATAAATATATACTAGTGTCACTGCTATTGTAATAGTAATAGTATTGATATTCAATAATGTCACAACTGACATCAATAGTATCACTATTCTGTTTAAAAAAATCCGATAAAAAACAATAGAAATTTATAGAAATTTGATAAAAATCTTATATAATTTTATCAGGACCTATCTATCAGACATTAAAATCACGACTGATAAAAAAGTTATAAATTTCTATCGTTTTATATCTTATATTAAATAAAATATAGAATACTTATCGAATATCACAAGCTTTTCTATATGATCCTATCACTATTAAATCAGATAAAGAAATAAATGAAAGGATGTTTACGAACTTATATAATTTAATCTCTATGTGTTTGAATAAGATAGATGTCATAGAAAAATTATTGTATCCTATCGTTAGCAATATAATGTGACATTCTTCAGATCATTGAACAATTATTTCACAGATTTCAACATACATAACAAAACTGTAAAGTTTTATAATTTTGTATCTTATTTTATTTAAACGATAGAATAATTAACTGTTAAGCTAGCCACTCCCCAC